GAAAACTGGAAAATATAGGGGTATGAACTCACCTGGAAAGTGTGGTGATTTTGAAGAAAACGGGATTTTTCTCGGGCAGCACTTCGACCGGAAAGTGGTAAGTTTTTCGGGAATCTCGGAGCTTCGGACCTTCGTCGGGGCTTGGATATGTAACCGGGGTGTCGGGGTCATCTCGGGGTGCTTAACGCAGAGTAAAAATGGGAGAGGGGATAGAAATGAGCTGGAAACCCTCGGTTCTATTTATAGGGTGAAGTTTCAGGACTCACGTCGTGGGCATGGGATGGCTCACGTCGTGAGCTTTGTCCGTAGACGCGACGTCTGGTGGTCTAACTCTAGCACACATCAGTCATAGACTCACGTCGTGAGTCTCTAGCTCACGTCGTGGGTCTCCGGATAAGGTTGGTTTGCGTGCCCCGAACTTTAGAAATTCATATCTCTCGCATACGAGCCTCGATTTTGACGTTCTTTATATCCACGCGTAGGTGAGATTATGCTCTACGACTTTCGTTTAGACTCCGTCGGCTAATTTTGAATTAAGTTTTTAATATTATATTTTTAATAGGCCGGGACAGGATAAATCCGTTAAAAATTCATAACTTCTTCATCCGATGTCCGTTTTCGTCTGTCTTTTTACCGTTTTGCTACTATTGTCGAGATATTCAATTCTCGTTTAGGTTGCGTCAACTAAAAATCGTTCGATCTTTATTTCGAGTTTTTAGCTGTCTACTGCTGTTCTGAAACTTATAAAAATCATAACTTCCTCATACGAAGTCAGATTTGGACGTTCTTTTTATGTACGCTCACGGTTTGTTATTATCTACGACTTTCGTTTAGATACTTAAGGCTAAAAAGTCTTTTTATTGAAATTTCACTTTTTACGCTTAACAGTGTTTTACCGGTTTTGTCGCGGATCTTTGATTGGTCATAACTACTTCGTTATAACTCGGATTCGAGTGTTCTTTATATTTCTAGAAACCTTGACACGATATCTAACATTTTATGTATCCCAATTGAGACTTTTGAACATTTCGTTTTTGACGCTATTTTTATTGATTCCAAAATAGATTATAATATTTGACTTTTTTGAACATTACATTGACTTGGAATATCGGGTTGTCACATACACGCTCTCTGATCTCCATGTATTCCAAACCCCGAAAATAGATGCAAGACTTTGTTTATAAACTTAAGAGAATTTGGGAATTGCACCGTGACTAATAGGTTGTCACAACGCGATTAATTTCGCACATCTCGACCATCTGTCATGTGTCGTCTCCTGTTGTCATGTATCTTGCCCTCTAGACACGTATCTCGCCTACTCAACACGTGTCTAATATCGAACACCCCGTCGTGTCGTAATAATAACTACTCGCATCGCGCCTTGACCGTTGACTTCCGTTTACCATGACTTTGTCCATCGCACCCTGACATCTACATAGTCGCTTTGTGACTTTCCAGAAATATCAACGTACTTTCGAATGACCATAAATTCTTCATATGAACTTCGTTTTTGACAAACTTTACATCCACAAAGTCGTCTCCATGTGAACTACAATTTTCTTCAACAATATTTGCTAAACACCAATACACAACATAAATCAACTCTCTACTTTATTTCACATGCTAGTCTTATTAACAATTTATACCCCTTTGAATAATACATGTTACGAAAAACAAGTATTACAATAAAAATAGAACCCATTACACCGTTAAGAAGTTCAAACTCAATCAATGTGTCTCAAGTATCTCAACTCTTTCAAATGATAATCTCAACTCTGGAAGTGGTTCAAAACATGCAAATGGAAACACAAAAATATATTAACATAAATTGTAGCTTCAACTTAGCATTAAGTCAACAAAAAAAAAATCACCAATTAGATAAAATACAATTTGTATTAGTTCCAAAATATCAAATAACAAACTAAGTAGTCAAACCAACTCACTAGCACATCTAATGCCTATCGATCTAGTAGGACCATCATGTTTGATCTTTTACAATGGTTTGTTGAACGGATCAACTGGAATTTCTTCAAATGATACACGACTCACTATAATGTTATTCTATTCCATGGAATTTCTAATGTAGTGGAACTTTCTGAGTATATGTCTTGTATGCTTGTGTTGTCGAGGTTCTTTAGCCAAAGAGAGTACACCCTCGTTATTGCAGAAGATCTCAACAGGATCAACTATGCTCATAACACCTAGATTGCTGATGAACTTCTTCAACAACACAACCTCCTTTACAACTTCATTAGATGCTATATACTCCGACTATGTCGTCGAATTTGTTATGGTCTCTTGCTTGGAACTTCTCCAAGTCATTGCTCCTCCATTTATCAAGAACACAAATCTCGACTGTGATCGAGAATCATCTCTATCATTTTGGAAACTTGCATCTATATTTCCCTTTATTTAGCTCTTCCTTATCACCAAAGACCAAGAACGTACCTTTAGTCCTCCTAAGATATTTCAAAATGTTCTTCATTGCAATCCATGAGTTTCGCTTGGTTTGGTGTGTTAATGAAATTTCAAGCTCAAAGCACACAAGACAATACCTAGTACATATCATAACATACATGATCAATCCTATAGCAAAGCATACGTGACTCGACTCATCCTATCCAGTTCTTTACTAGTATAGGGATATTGAGTCTTACTCAATCTTTTTCCATGTTGCATAGGAACAAGTCCTTTCTTAAAATATTGTATCCTAAAATTATTCAAGATCTTATCTAAGTAGACTTTTGGTTCAATCCAATTAAACGTTTACATTTATCCATGTAGATCTTTATAACAAACATATACGCGACATCTCCCATGTCCTTCATAGCTTAACATTTCCCAAGCCAATATTTTACACTTTTCAGTGTTGGGATATTGTTTCCTATGAGTATTATGTCATCGACATACAATACACGGGAAGAATACAGTCCCACTAGCTCTAACATATATGTATGGTTCATCTTCGTTTCTTAAGAAACCAAATTCTTTGACTTTCCAATTTTAACAAATGTTCTAGATGCGAGATGCTTGTTTGAGTCCAAAATGGACCTCTTTAGCTTGCACACTTTATTTGGATACTTGGACTATACAAAACCTTCTGGTTGTGCCATAAACACATCCTCAATCAAAAAGCGGTTTTTACATCCATTTTTCGTAAACATGATTAGGTCAAGTTCATACGGATATCTAGAACAAAGGAATAACTGATCACTTATCTAATGGGTAAACATGATTAGGTCAAGTGCTTGGTAGTTGCATTAGATGACTAACTCTTTGTTGATTATTTGAGGAGTATTAGGACCTTAAAAAATTAATGACTTGTTCAAGTGGGGGACTATTGGAAATGTTGCCCAAGGTTATTAACTATTTGGTAATAATTCTAAATAATAATAGGGTCCTTTTGGGTTGGCCTCATGACACAACTAGCAATAAGGAATGGAGAAAAATAAGTTGTTAATTTATCAAGTAATTAATAAATTAATTGGAAATTATTTTGGTAATTAATTAAATAGTTTTAATTAATTAAAGAGCTTGAATATTAATTAATTCTTAGATATTAATTGGAATATTCCAGAAGCTTTTGGAAGATTACGGTGGACGATTTTGATATCCTTTGGATAGGGATAATGCATGTTTTGAATAAGATAAATATAAACCCTAAGAGTTTGAATCTCTTAAGGATTTGTCTGTTGCCTATAAATAGGGAGCTATGGATCAAACCATGTATGATTTTTTTCTCTCTAATTTCGTTCCCCTCTCTTTCCTCTCTCACTCCATATTGACGAAATGTAACCCCTCTCCAAGGGTTATTGATTTTCACAATATCCCTCATTAGGGTTTCCTTGGTGTTGCTTCTTGGAGTCTTGGGTCTGACTACGTTAGAGGGATTCTCATTTGGGGTCCTTTATCCATTGTAAAGGGTGTCAATCACAAGGTCTCAATCAAGAGATCAAGATGTATATATCCTTCTTTCAGTTTGATTTTAAAGTACGTTGCTGAAACTAGTATAATCAATATCTTAGGGTGCAAGTACACTTAAATAATTTTTGTTTGTTTCCGTTGCGATGATTTAGTGTATTGATGCTATAAAAACCCAACACAACGTTTTATGATTGAAGGCGAAATGAAGTTTGTGGTTAAAAGGCATTATGGATTTTTTTACATGATAATTTTTGAAAGCACTTAAAAATATGAATGGTTTTCTTAAAGCTCTTAAAATATGAATAATTTTTCGATAAAAGATTTTAGAGATTGTTAAGATCGAGATCTTACGTAAGATCGTTTTACGTTTTGCAAGATCGTGATCGTAAAATCTGATCGAGATCAGAAGATCCTATTAAAATAAACTAGTCTTGAAATTTGTTTGCAATGTCTTGTGTACAATACTCATTAAAATTGATATTCACCAAGACATATGTGTACAATACTCATTAGAATTGATATTCACTAAAGCAGCGATGATGTAATTAACTTCCGATCGGGTTAAGATCTTAAGATCCTAGTTGGGATCCTAAGATCCCAATATAGATCTTTCTTAAGATAGATGCTAGTATGATCGAGATTGTTTTTAACTAATATGATCTTAAAATTGTAAGATCTTAAGAACAAGATCGGGATTTTAACAATCATCATTGAAGCATTAGAGGGGCCATTTATGTAAAAATTCCAATTTACATAAATCTTTCTAATAATTTATAAACATAAATCTTGTAAAACAAGATAAAAAAGTGATTAAAAGAATGAGATTGAAGTAGTATAGGGTCGTTTATATAAAAAATTTTAATCATAAATCTTATGAAACAAGATAAATCTTATGAATTTTGAAATATGTAAATTTTTCTAAAAGTTTTCAACCATAAATCTTGTGAAACAAGATAAAATAAAGTAATAATAATAATAATAATAATAATAATAATAATAATAATAATAATAAAAGAATGAAGTCGTGGAGGGGCCATTTATGTAAGTTTGGTTATGCGTATCGGAGTATCGGCGCACCTCCCTACGCAATATTTGTATACTTTGTTGTGTTGTGATAGCAGCTCCCAAAAACTAGGTCTCCAGCTCCCAACGACTTCTCTTTCACACAAAGAGAGAGGAAGGGAGGGAGGGAGAAAGGGAAGAAGGAAGAATCAAGAATTATGCCGACGTTCACGACAATTGCTCTCGAAAATCTACTAGAACATAGAAATCCGAGCACGAATTCGTCGACTCTCAAGAGCCAACAACCCTCCACCAACAAACCTAACTATCTTCAAAATCATGTAGAACAAAACGATGAAGCTAAAGAGGAGGAGAAATTTAAAGCAAGGAAGAGATTGAATCACATCTACATATCACCTGCTCTCTACACGACTCCAGAACCGACTCCGATTTTGGATTATTCTTCATCTGGCTCTGTCTCGTCCTCACCGTATGTGTTTAATCGGAAGGGGCGTGGTGGGGGAAACTCCGCCAATCGGAGAGTCGATGGGTTTGAGGTTCAGGGAAGTGGGGCCCAGTCGGTTGGAAATGAAGCTGAGACGTTGCTTGATGGGAAAGACGAATTGGTTGAGAGTAGTTTGATTGGAGGAGGGGGTGAAAATGGAAATCGTGGTGAGGTTGAAGGTGAAGGTGCGGATGATGATGATGAAGACTTTGTAGATCCTCGATGTGATTCGTTCAGTGTTGCTAGCTCGAGCGACCTGAATGATTCTGGGAGACTAGGGCTTGAGAATATGAGCGTCATTTCTAATCAAATCGGGGAATTCTACGACGCCATTGAAGGTAAACAAAACGTTTCTTTAAATCTGGTTGACTTGTGTGCTCCTGCTCTAGATTAAAGTAAAGACTAGAACATATAAACCCTAATCCCTTCTCCATCTTTCCAGAATTTTCTAGCAATTAATTTCAGGTTTTGTTCCATTGGCTTAAGTTCAATCCCAATCAACCACAGTAGAATCTGCTCTTATTGAATCATTCTTCTATTGATTCAACAAATAGTGTAATATCATCTAAACACAAACTGTAACTTTTGACACAGATTTCTCCTCGGATGGATCTATAATGAGTTTAGCTTCATGTAGCCGCAACCTAGAATCAGAGTTGCACACCACAGGAATCACTCTCATTGAGGAGATTGAGAAGCGGAAGATCGCGGAACACGAACTTGCTACAATGCACACTCAATGGCAGAAAATCAGCAAGATTCTACTATCTCAAACTGGCTTCACGTTTCTTGAAGCACCTTCAAGTGAAGGTGGTTGTATGCAGTTTGACATTAATGAAATGAAGCAGTTTTCTCAGGAAGTTGTTTATGCTCGATTTGTGGCAGAAGCCATGGCAAAAGCTGAAGCTCAGGCGGAAGCTGAGCTGGCGGCAGAGGTGGTGATAGGATCCAAAGATAAAGAGATCTCCAGGTTGAAAGACAGGCTGCAATACTATGAGGCTATGATCCATGAAATGTCCCAAAAGAACCTTGAATCTATGGGTATGATCTCTTATATCTTAATTACCTTTTTAACCCTATAACATATATTTATTTTGTGGGAACTTTTGCAGAGGTAGCAAGAAGGCAGAGAGAGAAGAAAAAGGGGCATAGGAAATGGTTATGGAGTTGTATAGGAATGTCCATTGTTATTGGAGCTTCTGTGATTGCTTACTCATATGCTCCACCTACTACTACTACTACTAATACCGCAGAGTCTGAATCTGGACATGATTAGTGGTTCTATTCATCAATCTTACTTGTTTACATGTCAAATAATGCAACAAAACATTGAGGGGTGATTATGATGACCAAATGGTTGCCCAAAAAAAGTGAAGTTCACAATTTTGGTACTGATTACAAGTAGTTGGATTTGGTTGGATCTTTAAAAGGGTTTAATACTGACCTGATAAAAGTTAGGTTGTAGATGAAATGGATTTAATGAAAGAAATGCTTTTGGCATGCTATTCATTTGTTTTTTTTTGTGTTACATGGTGTTTAGTTTATGTATGATTTGTCAAAATATTGCTTCTAATCAATCATGTTAATGCAAGAACCTTTTTTTATTTGGGAGATCCAATTTCAATGTGGATTGAGCTCTTTGTGGTGATAGGTGTTGTTGATCTTATGTAGAATTTAGAGCATCCACAACAGTATAATGTTTTATAAAGTTGAAAAAGGTCGTATTGTAAATGCTTTACAATAGGTGAAGATTTGTAATTGCTTTTTCAAAATGAAAGCTTTGAAAAAACTCATATTGTAAATGCTCTAACAATGAATATACATGATGTTTTTGAACCATGCAATTTGGGTTTTAGGCTTTTAGCAGCCACAGCATGAATTTCAATTCTCACGTGACACTTTTGAACAATATAAATTTGTCCTCTTTTTATCTTGTTTATGTCATAAATGATGGTTTTAAACAGTGTACGATCCTATCCTCCTTTTGTCTTGGCAAAAACAAAGAATTTAAATCTTATTCAATTCTAATATGGATTGGATTTCTTGTGGGTATTTTGCTATTGTTCTTGTGTAATCAACCTAGGAAATTGCTAGGGAAATGATAAAACGTGCCATTGGAATGGGATGGTATTTTCATGAGAATAACCTTTTTGCAAACACCATCTAATCTTTTTGTATATACCAATACTTTCTTGGGTAGTTGTGACCATGGGGACACGGCTAGTTGCCAAAGTGTATTGGTTTCATACAAAGTTCATTGTTATTCTTTTTTTTTCACCATTAAATGTTATCTGGATAAATAATGTTTATTTTTTTTAAGATGATATTACACTAGAAAAAAAAAATGAATGAAAAAATATATGGTAATTTGGGATGAGAAAAACAATCGTTGGAACTGAATCAGAACCAATTGGAAACCGATTATGCATAACAGTCCGATTCTCGGTTCTTCAACTTCCCCTTTTTCAGTTTCGGTTTTTCTCTGAAAGTATATATATATATATATATATATATATATATATATATATATATATATATATATATATATATATATATATATATATAGACACACACACACACACACACACAGAGAGAGAGAGACTAAACGTTTAAACATAGAAAAATAGCCAGAAAAATCCCTAAACTATATGACCTGATTAACGAAAAAGTTATCCTTCATTTTTATTTACACTTAAACATAGGATGTCCGTAAACGTTTGCAAAATGGGTCTTGTACCCAGTTTGACCTTATTAACGAAAAAGCTATCCCTCATTTTTTTAATTGTCTAAACAAGATGTCAAATCCATGCATTATTAACATTCAAAATTAGACATCTATTAGGTCCGTTAGCTGCAAGGCTTAAATTTTTCCTGAACATGTAAACCAGTATAATAATAATAATAATAATAATAAATAAATAAATAAAATAAAATAAAAAACGTTTCCGTAAAGCTCTTTAGTTGGGTTGAAGACGTAGCTTAAGTCTAACCGGAGTGGGAGGACTAACCCACGCTTCTTGCTGATGTGTCCGGCCTAAGGACGCGCGAACACCGCCTTAAGGCCGGTTGTTTGGGTGTGGCGTGGATGGAAGGACAGACGAAGACGATGAATAAAAAAGTAACAGCAGCAGCAGCAATAGTCACATATTTGATCCTTTTTCCCCTTTTCCTTTGTATCCATCGAAGTAAAAAAGAAAATGGCAATGGACCCGTTTTCCAGAAAGCGGGTGAAGAAGACAACCAAAAAGTAAACTGGAGGACATTCAAATTTGTTTTAATTAAAGTTATAAATTTGGTCCTGAGGTTGTGTCTTTTAATTTTATTATGCCCTCTCATTTTTATTTGAATAACTTAAACCTTCAACTATATATAACTATATATGTTTATTTAATTTTAAAAATTAATAATATGTTTATTTGATTTTTTAATTAATAAAATGATTACTTAAGTTTATAATTATGTTTTTTTATTTAATCTAATATTAAAAAAATTAAAAAATATATAAATATAAATAATGTGGAGTGGTAACTATTTCTAATATCTAGTGAGTAGATGGTGTCAGGCTAAATGGAATGGTCACCACCAGCCCACCGGAAAAGTGGTGTCACCTCTGCGCCAGATCAGCTTCACCACCAACCCACTACACATTGGAAATGGTCACCACTAACAATATTCATTTTTTTTATTTTTTTTTATTTTTTGTAACATTTATATTAAATAAAAAACATAATTTATAACATACATAAATTTTTTTTTGTAACATTATATTAAATAAAAAACAAAATTTATAACATACTTAGTTTTTTTTTTATTTTTTTTTAATTTTCGTAACATTGTAATAAATAAAAAAATATTAATTTTTAACACAAATAAGTTGTTTGAAAACACAAAAAAATAAAACCACATTTTTATTAATTAAAAACATAGATTTAAAACCTAAATTACTAAAACAAACATAAAACATAACAAATCAAACATTACACTACTTAATTAAAAAATAAAAAACACATAAAACATAAAACCCATAGATAAATACTACTCGTCGTTGTCACCGACTTCATCACCCTCACCCGCCTTGTCGTCACCTTCTGCATTTGTCTCGTCATAATCGTCCTCATCCTCTTCGTCTTCATCGTTATATCCCCCTTCTAGTTGTCTCCCTCATATGTGCTCAGTCGAATCGTGACGTAGATTGTGATGTGTTTCACGATTTTGAATTTCCAAAACTCTAGAGAAGTATGTCGGGTTGCCAACTTGTATCACTGCAGGTGGATTAAGTATATCGTTCCCATTATATGAACATATAGCCCTGCCCTCTTCTTCTATTATCATGTTATGTAAAATAACACAAGCAGTCAACACCGTTGTTAGTTTTGCCCTATCCCATGTTCGTGTCGGATGCTTGATTATGTGTCACCTTTGCTTTAGGACTCCAAACGCTCGTTCCACGTCCTTCCGTGCAGATTCCCGTGCTAACTTGAACAATTTTCTTTTTTCATCGGCTGGAAACGAATACGACTTGACAAATGTGGCATACTCTGGATATATATCATCACCTAGGTAATACCTATACTTATATTCATTTCCATTTACAACATATGACATGTCTGGTGCTTTACCCTGCAAAATATTGTTAAATAACGGAGACGCTTGAAGCACATTCAGGTCATTGTTGGACCCCGCCATACCAAAGAATGCATGCCAAAACCATAGGTCATGTGATACAAACGCCTCCAATATAACAGTCGGGACCCCATGATCTCCTCGCGTGAATTCACCACGCCACGCATTGGGACAATTTGCCCACTCCCAATGTGTACAATCAATACTACCAAGCATCCCTGGAAAACCATGTTTAGCTTGATGCGCGGCATACAACTGTTCGACATCACTTTTAGTCGGATGTCGCAAGTATATGTCACGGTAAAGCTCAATAAAATACTCACAGAAAAGATATGTACACTCTCGACCCGTCCTCTCAGACATTTTCAGATACTCATCTGATGCGTCTGCGGTTATACCATATCCCAACTGTCTAAGAGCGGCCGTACATTTTTGTATTGTAGTAAATCCGCGTCTACCTCTAGCATCCCATCGTAATTGGAAATACTCATAATTACGTTCCAAATCTCTAGCTATACGTAAAAATAAAGTTCTACTAATACGAAAACGATCTTCGAATTTCGCTAGGTCGTATAAACTATCAGGGGCAAAATAATCACGTACCAAAAGTTCATGTGCCACCTCTCGATCCCGGTTGATCCATTTTCTATGTTTCTTCTCACGGTGGGAACTTTCGCCTCTCTCATGAATCACGTTTTGTGCCGCAGACAATAGTGTGTGCAAAACCAAATCGTCATCAGAACCGCTATCCATTTTTTGTTGAATGTGTGTGTTTGATTTGAGAGAAATTTTGTGTTTGTTTAAAAAAAAATTGTGTCAAAATAGATGTATATATAGAGAGAAATTGAGTGGTAGGTGTAATAATTAATTAAGTAATTAACTTTTTTTATGGAGTATGCAAGCCAACGGTCAAAAAAGAAATCACCCAATCAAATTGCGTGTCTTCGCCTGTCTTCGGCTCCACGCAACAAACAACCCACCGGAAGGTGGGGCGTGTTGGGTAATACATGCATCAAATACACTCTATAACTAGGCAGGGGAAGAATCGAAACAACAAAACGATTTACCTGAGTGTACATGCACCCTATGGATCTATGGCTTCATATTATTACTTCTACCCTATGAAATCCAAAAATACAAGGAAGAATACTAACCTCTTTAGCAGCTAATGATCTTCGAGCTTGACTCCTTGTGCGTGCCACCTTGTTTGGATGATGAGGATCCAAACTAGAATCCCTCTCTTGGTTCACACCCAATGAACTCAAATGAGTAGAAACAAATATAAACTAGGAGGGATGAACTATAAGGAAAGTTCTTCCACAATGAGGGAGAAAGAAGATGGCGAATACTCAAGCCAAAAATGAGCCAGGAGGAATGAATCCCTAAGGCCCTATTTATAGCCTTGGATACCTCCTAGGGTTTTATCCTTCCATCCATGTGGGATGGGATAGGCTATGAACGAAATTACCTTTATCCAAATGGAGATTTCGTCCAACCCCCTTCCTTCTAGGGTTCTGGAATGTTCCCTGATTAACCAACTATTGATTAACTTACATTCAACCCTTCTATTAATTAAACTGTTAATTAATTCCCAAATTGTTTTCCAATTAGTTTCTAATTAATTATTAAACAATAATAATTAATAAACTAATCACTCCTATTATTTATTCTACTCAATTCTGAGTCTTGAGGGCAGCCCAAGAGGACCATGCTATTATTAGAAATATCACCAACTAGTTAATGACCTTGGACATACTTCCAACAGTCTCCCACTTGGACAAGTCATCAACTAGGTATATATATGGTTCTATATTTCTCTAATAATCAAAAGAGAGAATGCCATCCAATGCATCTGCCGAACTCTGATCTAATCAGTTTCAGCCCTCAGATAAGTGATCAACTATTCCTTCATCCTCATGATATCTGTATGAATTTGAGACATGG